TTTATTATTGTGTTGACTGCCAAATACCGTCAAACGGAGAACACGTGTTTTCCATGTATATCCTTTACAAATTTACACACCTCGGTAAATTTTACATTCACTTAGTGCACATACAAATAATACATAATCATGAACGATAATCCAAGAGGAATGTAGGTCTATCGGGAAGGTGTCGTGACCCATTTCAGGAGAGGTTATTACACAGGCTCTTTCAATGAGAGAACGAGGAAAATTATGGAAATTTAAACGCAGTAAGACTTCCGGTCAGATATCGAACGGGACTCCCCCCACAACATCACATGCACACCAGTTAAACCGGTTACTGTTTCGTCAGTAATATATTTGTTTCTACACGACGGTTTCGCAGTTCTCTTCTAAGACGATTATTTCAAACAGTTTTATACCGTTATAAACTGGAAAATGCACACGTAACTGCCAGTGCGGACAGTATTTTGACTGTAACCCAAGAGAGTAAATAGGGCGACAGGACGATAATGAATTATTCAGTTTTCAGTCGCCGTTTGAATTTATGTGAGTGACGGATACAAGTACCGTGGTCTTCGCTGTAAAGCCCCAAGCGGCAGGAACTCTGATGTTTCGATTTGGGGGAATGGGATGACTTGATGTGTTTTTTCGTTTTGTAAAATCCTTGAAACACCTTATCCATTTCTGAAGATTGCTGTGTTATTGTTATTAAGGCTTGTCACATTCTCTCGGATCTAAGGAATGCAGTTTGACATAAACTTGCCTGCCCACACTAACAACTAGTTTATAAAGTTCAAATAAGAACTATTTCGGAGGCCTCTCGCACAACATTCTTTCGGTCTGCCACCTATACCTGAACCCTATTGAAGCGATGTGGTGTGGGTGGGTCACAATATCGTATTTCTTGCGGTGGGGTGATATCGAGTTCACTTACCACGTCGGCCATTACTTGGCCTATTGTACCAGCCCCGGATATTGATTATGATGAGAATGGAGCAGTCGGTGGAATGAGAATTGGCAAGGGCAACCGAAGCACTCGGAGAAAACATGCCCCCTTGCCGCTTTGTCCACCAAGAATCCCGTATGACTTCACCTGGGCTCGTACACTGGCCGCCGCCGTGGGAAGCCGGCTACTAACCCCCTGAGCTATGGCATGGTCCACAGAACCATAACATTTAAGCCCACCGCACAGTAAGCCCAGATTAGTTTTGGTAGTGCAGCCTGTCAGAAACTAAACACATGCAGTTTCCTGCGTCAGTATGCACGTTTCCCATACTGAAACATAGTCGAATGCGGGATTTTGTTGAGGAAAGTTCGAAATGAGGCCGATCACCGTAGCCGCGCGGTCTAAGACATGAACTGTCTTCGCTCGCTGGAACGCTGGGATCGTGGGTTCGAATCCCACTCGAGGCATGTATGTCTGTGTGCGTTTATCTGCGTTTGTGTTGTCCTGTATGTAGGTAGCGGCCTTGCGATGGGCTGATCACTCGTTCAAAGAGGCCTACGGTCTGTGTAAAAAAATATTGCGAAACTGAAGAAGAGGTCAGGGTCCAAAAAAGGGTTGTAGAGTCATTGATGAATGAATGAATGAAAGTTCGAAACGATTGTTTAGGAACTGCTGCTAAATATACTACTCGTACGTTCTGAATCTGGATCACAAACCATACACGATTTCATGGTTTAAGCTGGCCATTCTACATATATATCAGGCTGTTAGTCGCGGGCTTCCCACCACGGCGGCTCGGGTCCGATACCAGGTCAGGTCACTTGGAATTTGTTGTAGACAAAGCAGCACTGGGGTGGTTTCTTCAAGTACTTCGGGGTTTCCTACTAATTCTTATTCTTCCAGTTGCTGCATACTCCGGGGCTCATTCGATAGACCCAGCAGTGGCTGACGTATCAAGTGGACTGTCTCACCCTGCCTTTCGAATTTAAAATTGTTGTGCTTTAAGCTTTCGTAATAAGCTTATTTCTTATGATAAGGAATTGTTAGCCTCACGCCCAACCTCCAAGCTGGAGGACCACCCCTTGTCGGCTGTCCGCGACTGCTTATTCAATATATTCGTAGCTACAGGGCTTAGGCTGTAGGGCGTCTCCTCCATTCGCAATCTGAGGACGCGCCATGCCGTGTTGAAAAGGAACCCACCTGACAAGTACTTTTCTCCAAGCATAATTGGTATGATGAAGTCGAGAAGAATGAAATTGTCAGGGCATGTAGCAAGAATGCGGAAGAAGTGGAATGCATATAGGCTATTGGAGGGAAAGCCAGAAGGAAAATGCCCACTGGAAAGACCAAGACGTAGATAGTGGACAATATTAAACTGGATATTAGAGCGATAAAATGGGGTGAAACGGATTAGACTAATCTGGATGATGATAGGGACCAGTGGAGGGCTCTTGTGAACACGGTAATTAACTTTCGGGTTCCATAAAATGCTGGGAAGTTCTTGAGTAGCTGCATAATTGGCGGCTTCTCAAGAAGAGCTCAGCTCCACGAGTTAAGTGAGTGAGTGTGCTTTAACGTGGACGACACCGTGCTCCTCGTAAAAGGGAAGTTCAGTCTTTTAACAGCGCAGCACTGGGTAAATGGGTGATACCACTTTCTGATTATATTGTATCATCGTTAGACGCAAGAGCACGCCTATACTACACGCCGTAGCTCCAGTATTCTGCACTACAGCTGAAACGGAGAACTGCCAAAATGTAGAACCAGAGTTCAAGAAGCAGTGTTCCAGGGTCGAATTAACTGTTGTGGGGGGCCCAGGACAATCAAATACACGTATGGATGCCTCTGCTAGAAAAAAAAAAGTAGGTTACGGCATTTTTATTTTTGTTTCTTGTAATAACTAAACGAGTAACTAGCTTTTCATGATTTTAGGGAAGCAAATGTCGCATTAAAATCTGTGGATTCTATATCTGTTTTATGGAGGAACCTTAAATTCGGCCCTTTAGGGTTCCCATGCGTACAAGCCTTGGTAACGAAACTGTGAGGTTTGACTCCCCTCTCCACTTTATCAGTTCGAAACAACTGTTTCATTTTTAAAAGTATTCGGACTGTAAAGAAAGGCAGACGTAAAGAAAGAGAGAGAAACAGACTATCAGGCATCCTACCAGCCTTTTTGCTACAATTCGTCATATTTGTTATTTTTATTGCTTTTGCGGGGGGTAAATGTTCGCAATGAAACTATTTTATTTGTCCCTACTCTCCTTTGCTTCGTTGTAGATGCAACCACGCATGTTGCACGTACATTCTGCAATTAAACTTTGCGGGAGAGAATTCTATCTCGACCTGTTGATACTGGAGTCTATAAAAGCTGAAAAAGAAGTGTGTCGCAATCTACGAGTATTCTCATTTTGGGGCGTCCAGTATTATGTTGCAAACATGCGGATAATAAGTTTAAGGTCTTTCATTCTGGTCCGTCACACTAACGAATTAACAATCAGGTTCCTTCCGTCAAATGTGACACTTTTTTAAGTTTTCCACCTCGTCACCACACAAGCATCACAACACACAGACAAGCAACATCAACTACCGACAGACAACACACGTCAACAACATCCCGAAGCAAAAAGATCGGGCCAAGCGGGAAAGAATTCTAGGGATTTTAAGAATTCTTACTTCAAATAACGAAACATAATTTTACAGAATTAACGACGAATCAAATAAGAAAGCTACTGTGGTGTGTGAAAAACTTTTAGTGAACCGACACTCTGGGTAATTTTACCATTTGTAATTATTTTAATTAACTGGAACGTGGCTATCTTGGACAAAGTGAAGTTTTGTGTGTTGGTGATTTCTTTTTCTACTATAAATGCCTCTGATGATGGCTCCGTGGTGAGCCGAAGCATGTAAGGCAGGTGGTGACGAGGTGGAAAACTTAAAAAAGTGTCACATTTGACGGAAGGAACCTGATTGTTAATGCGGATAATAATCTCACAATGTCCGTCCGTCTGTCCACATGTAACAACTCGGGTATGTTGAACGAATTTTCAAACATTTAATAGCGGATTTGCTGAGCGGTTTTTTAAATGCATTAATGAGACCGTCATGGTTATGAATTTCAGTCGTATCCGCTGTGTCCTTCGCACAAACTACGAAAGCTCTTCGTGCATCCCCAGAAAAAGAAGACTAGGGGGTGTGGTCAGGTGAATGAGGTGGCCACACCATTAACCCTCCTTGTGCTATTCATTGCTGAGAAAATCTAGCATTCAGCCAGTTGTTTACTCTTCGTGAGACATTACACGCTGTAAGCTATAGGTATAGGGGAAACTACTAAAATTTACTCTAATTGTTTTGCATTCTATTAACACTTCGTTACTGTTTGCAGCAGCTCTGATTAGCAAAACACGAGGTAATCACTATTAATTGCGTTGAACGTTTTAATCATGGAGTGTCATCTCGCCGTATTTTCATTTTCAAGATGGGTAACTCACAGTTATGAATCGGGAAGACATGTACTGTACTGACATTTGTTTGCTCTAAATGAACTCTTCTGTAGCTCCTGTAAATTATGACCCGTAATGTCTGTACGTATTGAAATGTACTGTCTAAGAACTCTAATACATCTAGCACGCTGTAGCGTAAAAATGATGTCCTGTTTCTCCATTACATATTCTTAGAGATCAGAGATTGTCAGAGACGTCAGAGATGTTAGCAAGAGTGACGTTACTGAGTTCAGTTGTGGTTATGTTCGAAATGTATCGCCCTTTATTGCTTCATTAGAACGCATTGTGTTGTAAATTTTAGTGTCTGACGTACATGCTCACGTCTTAATACAGAAATATGAGGATCGATAATGTTATTTTAAAGAAGCTGACAACGTAGTCTTTCGAACAGGTTGTTTGGGACAAGCTAGAATGCAAATCCATTTTTTTTTTTTTTTTGTGGTGATGTACCATGGGGAAAACTTGTCATATAGATATTTCCGTAATAACATCAAGAATTATTTGGACGTGTACTGCGTTTCATGTAAACATGACCATATCTGAATTGCCTTTGTGCGAATTTGGTAAAATTAGTTTTCTTTTGTGGTTTCCAGTCAAAGCCATGGCAACATTTTAAGTTTCACTTTTTATGTTACGTTGTTACTACATACAACAATTATTATCTCAGGATAGGTCTGGTGATGGTCTCATGTGAATACAATAATAATCATATGGATTCCACAGAATGCCGGGATTTACTTGATTAGCTGGGCCACTATTAGCTTCTAAATAAGGAAACTGTCCCATAATGTTGTAATAATAGTCCCTTGAAATAGGCCACAGCTGCTGCCTCCTTTCTGCTATTTCTAACATGCTTCATGAATTATAAAATGTATACATTGTACCGAAGTAATTAAATAACTAGACATAAACTTGAAATTGGCCAAGACCCAGTTTGTATGACATTACGTGGAATAAATCACATTGGTATTTATAAAACACATGACACCTGTGTAAATTATTTGTCAATTTAATTATTTTCCATATGTGAAAGTAACACTGTTTTTCCTCTGAAAATTTTCAGTTGTGATTGTACCAAGACTTTGTATGAAGAATTTCCTTAGGACCATTGTAGTGTGACAATTTGATAAACTAGAATGGGTGAGGTGGAAGAAGTTCAGGGTCGCAAGGATGTGATGCTTGAGAGGGACCCTTCAGTTGAAGATTCCGAACAGCCAAAGCCAGTAGTGGTGCATATACCTCGTGTTGCTGCACGTACCATTACTGGTCCTGCTAACTTACAGAACCAGGGTGCTATAGACTGGTAAGAATATTGTTTCTAACTGATCACTGACATAAAAGAGCTTTAAATATAAGATGGATACCCCAGGAAAATGTTAAGGAAACTAATTCTATTACTTGCCAATGTAAGCTTCTGTGTAACTCTTTGCCACAAACATAATGTTCATTTTCCATGTCTATACTTGCCTGCAGAATACTTTTGTAGTGAAAGTGTACCTAGACATTGTTATTACCTTGTCATTACTTCATTGTCTCTCATTGTCCTTAGAAATATTGTTATTTTCTGCTTGCTACACAACTTTTAGTCCCTTTGTTGTGCCCAGTAACCATTGGTTTAAAATTAGTATCATGTGCAGTTCATGTGGCAGTAAACGTACATGTGCTTTAACGCAGACCTTCTTCTCTTATAGAAAGCCCCACTTCATAACCTGTAAATGCCAGTAACATAGAATTAGGTCATGAGTCTTGTCATGGCTGAAAGTGAAGCACTAATGTACTGGCTAGAAGTTTATGTATCGTCTGTAACGTAGTAGCCTTTAGACTAACAGGGCGTTAGTCCTATGAGTCAAAATATGTCAGATCTACACAAAGCCAAGCAATGACAGTAACTGCCCTGCCACACACTTGTTATGTGTGACCACAGGAAATAGAAGTTGATTCATGTCCTGATGACTGAAGTCTGATTTACTAAGCATTTAAGTTGTTTAAAATGAAAAATTTTGGTATTTTATTAATAAAGAGTGGCAGGTAATGAAAGTGCCTTTTCCAAAGTTTGGTGCTATTACTGAAGTTGATGAAAGTCAAGACATGGTGCTTTCATAGAAGACCTGTCAGTATAAAGAGGAGAGCTGGGATCAGTGAATCTGTGAAAGGGAAAATGTGTTGTACTTTCTTATCATACCAAACTGTTTATGTTTTCAGTATCCCATTGAAACTGAAACACTAGAAATTATATATTCGCCATATAACAATTATATAACAATTAAAAGTAGTGAAGAGAAGTGGAACTGAGAAAGTTATGTTACATCTTTAGTACTGAATAATTTAAATGGTTGATAATTGCATTGTTAAGCATCATAAATTGAACTGGAATAGTTCAGTTAGTAAATTCAATGACTGTGAGCTGGAAAACTCAGGTTTAAAGTTGCTAGAACATGTCCAAGATCACTCCTCTTCATCTGCTATTGAGGTGAAGAGTATGCTGATTTTTACTTTATGCTCTGTTCATGTTTCCATGGCATTTACTGCCATTTTGTAGTTGTAGTGAAACTGATGCTTTGTGAATCCAGAAATATGGAGCAAATTTAATTTTCTAGTGCCAATCTTTATGTCAGAAATGAAAATGAACAGAAATGTGTCATTGTTCTTGAAATTGGGGGTTTCAGTTATGCTCAAGGATATTTGTGTTTTGTCTTGGCTGTTTGAGAATCTTCATTATCTTCTCAGCAGATGTGAAGATTACATCATAAGTTTCTTCACTGTGCCATGTCCAAGGAGGGGTATGAAATTATGGGAAACTTACGAAGTCATAAGGAATGTAAAGCGACAATAAACCAAACTAACCTACTTCAAAAGGCCACACCATAGATCAAGCAGTTAGTCGCTGGCTTCCCCTCGCGGTGGCCTGGGTTCGATCCTGGGTCTGGTCAAGTGGGATTTGTGGTGGACAAAGTGGCGCTGGGGCAGGTTTTCTCTTAGTACTTTGGTTTCCCCTGCCAGTCTTCATTCCACCATTTGCTTGACAATCACCCTCACCTATAATCTGGGGCTGTTACAATAGGCCAGAAGTGGCCGCAGTACAAGGGACTTAGTCCCACCCTACTAGCAATAAAAAAAAATACTGTAATGTAGCATTTTTAGCAACATAATAGATCATAGCTTCTCCCTGAGAATTTGAATTTGAGGTGTTTGGATTGGGGGACCCATAATGTAATCTGGATATTAACTGGATTGTCATATTTTTCAGGGGTCATCATGGGTTACTGGCATATGGCTCAAACTACACGATAGTAGTAATTGACACAAAAAATGTACAACCAATACAGTGTCTTGATAAACACAAGTCTATGGTGAACAAGGTAAGAATATAAGCATAACAATGTGAATAAAGCTGAGGAGTACTGCTTTCTGGGATGTGGTGCCCTGTAGTCTGATAGAAGTTCTCTTGTGCTGTGGAGGACATTCTGCCTGTCTTCAGAGTCAGAGTTGTTTTAAGCGAACATTGAGCAAGAAGCAAGCAGCAAGCTAAGAGGCTTCCTTGGCATGGTCATTTATCCTGGAGAGGAACCAATACATTCCTCTGAACCACTGGTGAACTTTACTGGGTTCTGCAGTGTCGTGTCCCAGAAGGGAGTACCCCTCATAGTCACCACCTTTAGAATTTCAAATCTAACAAGTGAACATTTGATTGTTAATATAGCAGGATCTTTACCGGGTAAACAAATTCTGGATCGTTTTTGCTTTTCGAACTGCACTGTTTTATTACATTTTACACTTGTATGCAGTCTTTAGGATTATTTTGTTAATGTGACACGTTTTATATCCAGCCCTACGGAGAGATGATTGGATCCAGGAAGTGAAAATAAATGTAAATGTAAATATTGAAAGAAAGATAAAGTTGTCCCTGTGGATATATAAATCCACATTTTCTTGACCTTGGCACTATGAAGGCCAAAACTATAATTTTGCCTATGGTTCTGTGTGGGTGTGAAACTTGGTCTCTGACATTAAGGGAGGAACATAGACTGAGGGTGTTTGAGAACAGGGTGTCAAGAATGTTTGGACTGAAGAGAGATGAAGTGACAGGAGGTTGGAGAAAACTGCATAATGAGGAGCTTCATTACTTGTATGCTTCTCCGAGTATAATTAGAATGATGAAGTCAAGGAGGACGAGGTGGGTAGGGCATGTAGCATGAATGGGGGAGATGAGGACTGTACATAGGATATTGGTGGGAAAGCCAGAAGGAAAGAGACCACAGGGAAGACCAAGACATAGGTGGGTGTACAATATTAAAATGGATCTTAGAGAGATAGGATGGGATGGTATGGATTTGATTGATCTGGTTGAGGATAGGGACCAGTGGAGGCTCTTGTGAACACTGTAATGAACCTTCGGGTTCCAGAAAATGTTGGGAAATTCTTGAGTAGCTGCAGAACTGGCGGCTTCTCCAGAAGGGATCATATCCAACTAAAAACAACCACCAAATTGATCTGGACATCAGTTATGCCAACAAATTAATCTGTAAAGTACTTGATACAAAATTCCTTGGAATACATGTAGACAGTACACTGTCTTGGAAAATACATATTGAACAAATTATACCTAAATTAAATGCAGCTTGCTATGCGATGAGATCAGTTAAGCCTTTTATGTCACAGGAAACATTGAAGATGGTTTACCATGCCTACTTTCATTCTATTATGAACTATGGATTAATATTTTGGGGGAACTCTTCACATAGTGTAATAATTTTTAAAATACAAAAGAATATAATTAGAATCATTACAGGATGTAGAAGTAGAGATTCATGTAGAGAATTATTTAAGAAATTAAAAATTCTACCTCTTCAATCGCAATACATATTATCGCTTCTCTTATTTGTTGTTTACAACAAAGATAAATTCAAATTAAATTCTGATGTCTATAACATGATTACTAGACAAAAATATAACTTTCACCTACCCTCATCAAATTTATCAGTATATCAAAAAGGAGTCTACCTTACTGGCATAAAAGTGTTTAACAATCTGCCACATAGTATTAAAAACTTGGGCAATGATACTAAAAAGTTTAAATCAGAGTTAAAGAATTATCTACATGCTCATTCCTTCTACTCTTTAGATGAATACTTCAATGTAAATAGAGAATGATGTAAAATTAAGTTATATTAATTTTTAAGCTAAAATTGTCTGTACTTATGTATGTAACCTTTTGACTTGTTCTGTATCCAAAGGTACTAACCTACTTAGGATTTATAGAATGTAAATAAATTCAATTCAGTTCAATTCAAAAAGAAAACATAAAGTCATATTTGTGAAAATCGTAACACATTATATTCTTCACCAGAAAGCTGTGCTGTGTTGACACACTACTAGTACAAGAAATTTCTTTTATAACTGAATATGCCTTACATAAATAACATCATGGTGCTGAGACTTACACGAATGGTTTATAACTATTCATCTGATCAAAATATTTTGTGCTTGTATATCATTATTGTGTTCCGAAAAGTCTGCAGCCTACCTGAATATTTTTGTTACAAAACTTTTTTCCTTAAGATCCATTGGTGTAAGTAAATCAAATTCACTTACAATAATAATAAAAAATACTTCTGTGTGTTTCTGTTGTCATCAATAGGTTTTGTGGGAAAGGAGTAATCGAAACAAAGCTGCAGATGAGCCGTCATCCCTCCAGTTAGTGTCATCTGATACAACTGGTCACATAATTGTGTGGGATGTTGTGCTAGGAAACCCGAGGACAGTGTTACAGGAAGGAAATAAACCCATACTTGGTAAGGAAAGTGTGACAGCCAAGAATGTTGCATTTATGAGAAGGTCCTCACAAGGTTTAATCCTGTCATCCTGGTCAGTAGAGCATAAGCTTAAACCAAGGAACAGATTTCATGTTATACTATACCTACTGTGTGAATGTGGCTGCTTCATCATTTACTGATACAGATTTTTCTATTGCTGATGTGGAAATTCAGACAGACATTTCTTGTGTAAGGTTGCCTCTACAAAGTATGATGTACCCTGATTCACAGAGTAGGTGAACATTAACTGATGTTCTCCAGTTCAGTAAATTTATAAAAATGCACCACCTTTACTATTGGTGGCCTGTTTACTTTAACACATTATACTAAGACAGGTTTAGTAATTACGTGATCAAAATGAATTTATAAGTAAAGGTAAATTTCTCTGTCTGCTGAATTAATTAAGCATCATACCATGAAGACATATGGGGGAGTGGAGGTATAACTCTACCATTTTTTTTACCCTGGTGATAGATGGAGGTGATTAGTCAGGTTCATGCCTGTTCCACATTAACCCTGGGGAAAGATACCCAGTATGCATTGAATATACGGCCTTCGTAGTCAAGGGGTAACGTTCCCACCTCAAAGTACATGGGTTCAAACCCGGCGGAGGTCGTGGAATTTTTAAGGGTGGAAAAATTCATGGAACAAGTCCTCCGGGAGGAACTTTAAGCCATGTGTCCTGTGTCTTAGATTTACGGCACATAAAAGACCCTCATGTCTCTAGGAGACCTCTGAGCAAAATTAGGCAGTTCCCAGCCAAGTAGTTTCCAATTCCTCCGGTAGATGGGGAAGTATCAGGGACGACTACTAGAGAGGGCCAACCTCGCTGGTAGAAAGGGGCTGATAGCGAGCACCACTACTGGAAGGGCATGGCGACTAGTTAGAATAATTAAAAAGGGGGACACACAATAGATCAAGAAATGGTGTCAGTGCATGGGGTAACCCACCCCCTCCAAGTAATAATAATAATAATAATAATAATAATGCATTGAATAGGAGGGTAGGTGGGCCCCAGGATCAGTCATGGTACTGTGGAGAAGAGAAGCTCTTGCCCCTGCCAGAGATTGAACCCTGGTTGTCCAGCCTGTAGCCTGTTTCTATATTGACTGAGCTATCCCATCCCCNCATTCACCTGTATTCTCTTTATTCATTCCTGAGTTCTCCTCTTGATATACCTTTTGTCGACTCGTGGACTCACAATCAACCTGCCCTCCATATTCGTCACTTTCTTGAAGCACTCTAATAATTTCTCTAGCTGAACTAAGTTCTAATAACACCTTCTTAAGTTCTATTTTCAATCCTTCACAACACTCACAGCCTTTTTCACTCTCCACCTGGATATTACAATCCAGAATCGGAGCGGTAACTACACCGTCAATCCCGCAGTACGCCATTTTTTGCTTGGTTGTTGTATGGTAGGCATGTATGGATCATCTGAGGTTATTGGTTTGAGTGGAGTGAAAGAACATAAAGGAATGCTGATCAGTGGTGATGTTGATTGTGACAGATATGGAGTGGGTGTCAGGCTTTGATAATGGAGAACAAATGCTTGCTGCTCTCCATCCCCCCTATGCGCTGGTTATCTGGGACATCAGGAACAAAACAAAACTCTGGAAGAAAACCTATACGGAGACTCTTGTGAGCTTCAGCTTTGATCCCTTCACACCTTCAAAACTTGCATGTAAGTTTGTGTGTGGTTAACTTCTTATGGATCACATTGTGATATGTCAAGATCTTCATTCACCCTGATTTTGTTCAGAAATGGAGCACATATAGTGAAGAGCCTTGTACTGGATGACTCACAATATGATCTCCGATTTCTTTTGACTGTGAAACAGAGAGTTTTTTTATAGGGGACGTTTGAATTGTACAGATGAATGGTCTATTTTCTAGGGATTCCACTGGTGTCATGTGATTACCGTGTTACTACCAGAAGGGTGTATAGTATCAAATACCATGATGGCAAACAAAGGGAGATTGAAAACCCTGTTATTTGCACCTGCCATTTTAGTTCTTTCTCTTTGCATTAATTGTTAAATTAGATTGAAATGTTTTCTGCAGTTCTGTGCAGTGATTGTCTCCTTTTCGTGGATGACTTCACACTCAGTAAGGTCCCATCATCAAATGGCCGCAAGTTCTATATTTCAAGCCCACGATCAAATCCCTCTGCAAGTTCAGCTCGTGGCAGCATCTCAAATCTGACCTCTGTTGGACTGGAAGAGAAGCAGCGTACCAGGGACCGTCTTCGGAGATTAATGAAGGATCTTGTGGTTGGAGAAACAAAACCGAAGTCAGTTGATTTTAATTAACATAGTAATATTTAAGTGAAGAATTAAGCTACACATGATGTTTGGTAAACAGAAAGAATTTTAATGTTTGTTTATTTAATACATATATTTTTAATGTGTTAATATTCATGGCCATTTTGCTGATTATTTTTATCATTTTGTCTGTGTGCATAATTTTTTTGTTCAAACAGGCCAGATGACTACATGACAGTGAGTGAGTGTCTTCAGTTGGAATACCATCATTCCCTTAGACATCACATTTTGCTTGTGTATGCTCGAGAAGTCTTGATATTGGATCTTCACATCAACCAAACAGTTGGAATCATTCCACTGGAGAAAACAGCATCGCCTCTATTGCAGGTGTTGTGAATATAGCACAGGAAGTACATGTAATGGTTTTGGAAGTGCTGTGGAAATTGCTAAAATAATTAATTAAAAATTACTTATAGTTATTAGTTATAAGAGTTCAATAAATCCAATTACCAGTCCGAACTTCGTGTCTATTCAGTAATATGTTACAGTATTTATGTTGAAGGCCTTGTGCACTACCTTATACCCCCTTTTCTAATCTTCTCCTCCTCTACATCAGTCCCCCCCTGCCCTTTTCTGAGGATAGAGATATACATATTGTTCAGCTAGTAAAGAGTTAAATGTGTTGCAGACATGGCAACATGAAACGAAGAATGTCTCAACATTGCACTTACATTTGTTATAGGTTAGGGTTTATGTTTCCAGAATATCACTTGTTCCTTACTCAAAGTTAATGTATGTATACCAGAAAATAGAAAAGTGCACAGCTTTCTACATTGATATTAATCCTTACTAATTCTACCATAGTAAACAGTTTACATGTAGATCCTTAATTTTCTCCAGCTAACTGATACAGAAAGTAAGCTGATGCAGTTCATGTAAAATGTTCAGTTACTGACTCAGTCATGTCCATTGCCAGACAAGTTGACTTATTGAGGTGCCATTGTATTGCAGGTGAAATCTGTTCGTCAGCGTGAAGTCTTATATTGTCTTCATGAATCTGGCAGTGTCAGTGCTAAATCTCGCCGCAGGCAATTGGCGTTTGTTGGTTCTCCACTAGATGCTCCTGCTGGCAGTGTTTCTAGTGTAGGTAAGTTCTCTTTTAGGGAAACTGTAGATCACTGGTGACCTCTTTTTTGGAATGAGTGTCATTATAAAACTGCAATATGCAGACAGTTTTGTTGTTTAAATAGGATTTGAGGTTCTCACAGCGGTGGATATGAAGAGTACTGTCTTCTGGGATAGAATTTGTTATATTCTATTGAAAATAAACTCATGTTTAGGGGAAAATATTACCTCCATCTTCAGGGTTGAAGAATAAGCTGAGCCAGAAACCAGCATGAAAGCAGGTGGCAAGCAGAGGCACCTGTTTTCATGCTTAGTTATTGCTTGGCTTATTCTTCGACCCTGAAGATGTTGGTGATATGTTCCTCCAGAACAATGGTTGATTTTCAATGGGCTGCACGGTGTTGTATCCCAGAAGTTTTGTTGTTAATAATACTGTCACACATCCTGGTAACGCGACAAGTAATTAATGGGTTCTGGATTAGATGAAGCGATTTGTTGGATAAGTTGATTACGATTACAATTACAGTTACTCAAAAATAAAGTCAGACTCAACTATTCTGGCTTTCAGGTGTCATGTCACAATACTATATTGATAATATGACAGTTTACCCAGAGAGAAAAATACTCGTAATTTCACAACACATATATGTTTAGACTTTAAAGGATTCTGACAGTGCTGTATGTGGTACAGAACTATAAGGTTTATTTTGGACTCTATCCATTGTCTGATATATAAGACAAAAAACCACAATGTTTCGGAGACTGGAGCTGTCTCTGTCCTCAGGTGGATGGGGCAGGATAGTCCTACTCAGTTGGGCCCATTAGAAAGAGCTGGACCAGTGATTGAGACTCACTCTTTCTAACGGGCCCAACTGAGTAGGTCTATCTTGCCCCATCCACCTGAGGATGGAGACATAGCTGGTCTCCGAAACATCTTAATGTCATGATGCTTAATTACATACCATGCAACTTTATCTTGCAAATTATATAACGTGTACCGTCTAAGCCATTTCAGTCCCTTAGGTACTGTCAGTATCTGTGCTTAGTTGTAAGTATGAGAGTTGGTTGTCTGTTGTACTGGAGCAGTAGTTATTTTTAATGAAAACCATTTCATGAAGTGAGTGAACATCATTGTGTAGTTTTTTAACACTCCTACTTTGTTTTTGTGTTACTTGAGGTTTCAGGTTCAGCCCTCAGCTTGGAGACCGTGTGGCCTGACTGAAGTACGAAGGGGGACCCAAAAATAACCGGAACCGACCTGTTGCATGCACATGCTTTGTAGTTACGAGTTGTGCTGCTAGGTGGTGTTAGCTTGGGGTCTCCCGCGACTGTTAGTGAGCTGGCGTCAGTCTGAGTTAAGTGGTTTGTCTGTGGTGCTCTGTTGTGTGCGTTCCTGTTTCAACCCTTTGGCGATTAGTGAGAATGGCATTGTCCACAAAGAGTTCGTTCTGCCAGGACAAACAGTGAACCAACATTTTTACCTGGATGTGTTACGAAGATTACGAGAGAGTGTGCAACGAAAACGGTCTGAAATGTGGAGAAATGGGAACTGGTTGCTTCACCACGACAATGCTCCAGCCCGTCTCATGTGCAAACCTTCGGTTAAAATTCGCTGGACCGTGCTCCATGAGACGTTTGTTTCCTCAGAAAGTTGGTCAATGGTCTTTTGACGATCTTCATCAATTGCACGTTTGATTTTGGCAATGTTTTCATCATTTCTTCCTGTCGAAGGACGCCCGGGGCGTGGCATGTCTTCTGTTGACATGTTGCCAGATTTGAAACGGGAAAACCACTCGTACACCTGTGATTTCCCCAAAGCATCATCATTAAAGGCTTGCCAAAGCATCCCAACAGTCTTGGCTGCAGTTTTCCCTAACAGAAAGCAAAATTTCACGCACACTCTTTGTTCCTTCTGGTCGGCCATCTCACTAATCGCCAAAGGGTTGAAACAAGAACGCACACAACAGAGCACCACAGACAAGCCACTTAACTCAGACTGACGCCAGCTCACTAACAGTCGCGGGAGACCCCCAGCTAACACCACCTAGCAGCACAACTCGTAACTACAAAGCATGCACGCGCAACAGGTCAGTTCCGGTTATTTTTGGGTCCCCCCTCGTATCTGTCGTTTCAATCTCGCCAGAGTAGCTTGCAACATGATGACTTACCCTCTGATTCCTCCCAAAATATCTGTTATATTTAGTTGTTATTGTTTAAAGATGGCTGTCAGTAGCTCAGAATATATTGGAAAATGATAGGATGATTAGTGGATAATGAATGGAAAAAGTTATGGAAGGAAGCATTCATGGCACATTTGAGCTGCTGTATGACCATTTGTTTGGAGGGACTGAGGAATAATCATGAAAAACATCAGTACATAAACAGTTAAAGCAAGTCTTACGTAACTTCGAACAAGGCCAAGAGCAACCTTCCAAGAGCAACCTTGAATGCGCAGAAGAAAAATTTCAGACAAGGGGGTGGAGGGTGTGAGAAGGGACAGGCAGCCAGTGGAAGAACGAGTGTTAAGAAACTCCTCCCACCACAAGCTATGCGCGGGATTTGACTAGGAATGCAGGATCTTGTTCGAAGTTACGTGACACTGTCTATAGCTGTATAATATTATCCTGAGTTCTTTATAATGATTACATGTATGTTGAAACTTGAAGAGTGTTTGTCTTGATGGAAGGATATGTATTATAAGTAGAGTTGTCCATAAGTTAATAAACAGGATTGTTTTTTGAAGAAAGCAGTCTTCTGGGATTTGGCGCCGTGTATATGTGGTGTTAACCGACGTTTCGGAGGAACGTATCGCCCCCATCTTCAGGGTTGAAGAAAAGTATAGGTAAATCTGCAAGCGACAACACCGTGAGACACGGTAAAGCAGTCTGCTTTACCGTGTCTCACGGTGTTGTCGCTTGCAGATTTACCTATACTTTTCTTCAACCCTGAAGATGGGGGCGATACGTTCCTCCGAAACGTCGGTTAACACCACATATACACGGCGCCAAATCCCAGAAGACTGCTTTCTTCATAGTCACCGCCGTGAAAGCCTCAAATCTTACACAGGATTGTTTTTTATCTGACTGACTGTTGACAAATATGTTTTGTTCTTCCATAATGTTATATAGCTTCTACGCCAAATAACGTTCTTATACTTTGCATGTGTTTATAAAATAGAATCTTGCGGACTAAAATCATGCAGTTTGTTTTGTTTTTGTTTTATAAAATAGAATTGTAAAAATAAGATTTGCACCTTTGGGAGTTCCTGTTTTTCTTTCTATACTTGAATGTTATCATAAGTAATATGTTACATAAAATCGATTTTGCTGTGACCTTATCATCTACAATTTTGTGCTTTTTATGTTTTCACACTTGTGTTTGTTGATAAACCGGGACATTTTGTGAAGGTTTAGAATATGGATTTGCTTGTTAGAAGTTAAAATGTACTGTGTGGTTACTAATTGTATTTGATTTGTTTCTGTGATCTGTATTTAGATATGGGTTCAGTCACAGCAGATGTCTTCATGGAAATGGCTTATGAACAGCGCTGCCAGAGCGAAGGGATACGACAGACAAAGGGCTCGAAGGTACTTGGCATGGCTGTGAATCCTGTCTGCGAGAGGAGGATAGGTATGTGATTCTTCTGTTAAGTAAATGTAAGTTAAATCTGTGGCAATTGCCTTATAAATTCAGTTACTTGTATCCATTTGTTTTGTATACAGAAAGTGTTCTGCAAGGATGTGTATATGTTGTCTACTGAAATTACTCACACAGAGTGTGCATCCAGCTGGAATTCGTTATAGGTTTGTTATGACAAGTATTAAGAGTCAGTTTCATAGTGAAGTATATGAAATCTGTTACAGAGCATGTGGACTTGTCAGTTACTTTGTATTGCAGCTTTATTCATGAACACTGGAAAGGTTGTATTCCTGGAAATGCGTCTAGCTAATGCAGAACTACCATTCCCTGTGGTGGCAAGCCCAGGTATATTATCAGATTTGTTGGCAAAAGGCAGCAGTAAAGCCAACAGACATGCCCAACGCAAGGAAACCCTCAGTGAGCTAGTGGGTCCACTTATGAATGTAAGATAAAAATCATTGTTTTTCATGTAATAACTGCTTAGACTTTTGGCTTTTAATTTTGCTTAAATTGATAAAGTGTTGCAGGAAAACTTTCTTATTCTTAACTGTTGAACATTTGCTGGTTTTTTAGTTTAATTGTCTTAGGCTGCACAATTTGTTATCTCTGAAAAATTGAAGAAAAATATATTTGTACCTTTGATACATACACTGTCACTCTTACCAGCCTACAACATTTCTATCACATCCTTTCCAACGCATCTTTCATTCGAATTCTCTCATTTCCTATTTAACCCTATATAGTGAAGGTAGTTAAGCAAATCATACTGTTAGGAGTTGAACTGTACATTTTGTAGCCAGTGAATTACCACTTTCACTGCTCTTCCCTCAACTAGGATTGTAGTGTTTCTATGCCAGCATTGCGACTCCTTGTGATGGGAATGCTGACAGGGGCTGCCTCACCACTCACTGTGATACGAATGTGCCCCCCTCTAACAACTCGCAACTGGCAACAGTATACTCCCCTTATGGCTGCAGGAACTACTACTGGCCTCGTCCAGATCATCAATATGGCGACCGGCACAGTAGACAAGGAACTAAGTATTCATTCATATACTGTCAGGTATGCATTGTTCTGGAATCTCAGTGTTGAGACCAGGTAATCTGATTGAGATTTCTTTTGTTATTCATTACCATCTTGGGTGACACTGTATAAGCTATAAAGTTACTGAGAGGACTGTAAAATGAACTGCGAATGTTTCAGTCTACAAAGTAGCGCTAATTATTCTGCTGTTCCCAAAATAATTTCTCTTTGATCATATTAAGTAATAACAAAATAATAAAATGTATTTTCCTCAGGCTGGTTCTCTTAGATGCACACACTCTCACAGCCTTGACATTTTGGTTTCATTATTTGAAATTGTTGCAATTAATATGAGACGTTTAACTGGTGCAAATTAAGCACGTAAAATTGTATTCAGGTAAAGGCAAATGGTAAAGTTTATGGCATGATGATATATGGAGGAGATTGAACTTGGGTAATGCTTGCTACCATTCAGTCCATAATCTTTTGTCTTCTGGTCTGCTGTCCAAAAACATAAAAATTAGAATATACAAAACTATAATTTTGCCTGTGGTTCTGTATGGATATGATACTTGGTCTCTGACATTAAGGGAGGAGGATAGACTAAGGGTGTTTGAGAACAGGGTGCTGAGGATAATATTTGGACTGAAGAGAGATAAAGTGACAGGAGGGTGGAGAAAACTGCATAATGAGGAGCCTCATAACTTGTGTATTCTTCTCCAAGTGTAATTAGTTTGATCAAGTCAAGGAGGATGAGATGGGCAGGGCATGTATTGTGAATGGAGAAGGAATGCGTATAGAATATTGGTGGGAAAGCTGGAAGGAAAAGATGCAGGTGGGTGGATAATATTAAAATAGATTCTAGAGAGATAAGATGGAGTGGTATGGACTGGATTGATCTGGCTCAGGATAGGGACCAGTGGAGGGCTCTTGTGACCTTTGGGTTCCATAAAATGTTGAGTAATTCTTGAGTAGCTGCACAGTTGCATCTTCTCAAAATGGGCTGATCTCTATGGAGTTAGTTAAGTAGTTAGTTAGTGATCCAGTTAGTTAGCATATTACTAAGTTTATCTTTTTCTGCAGGGGAATAGAGTGGACAAATCTAACAACGTTTCTGTCATTTGCTTATCCAAATGTGAGCAGCACCCAAGGACAAGTACGCAATGAACTGTTTCTTACTGATACACTAACTGGCAACTCCCTGCCATTGAGAACTGATAAGGGTGATGAACCCCCTATAGATATGGTGCGAGTGTCTCCTCTCAAGTGAGTACGTAGTGACAAGTATCCAGTTTAGTTAATTCATATTTCAGGTTCTTTCTTTATCACCAGTCAGTCTAATTTTACTGTTCTGGTGTTTATCCTGCATGCTTAACATAATAGCATGGTGTAGTGTTTAATGTGGGCTTATGTTCTGAAGTGTAAGATTTTATCTCAATTAAGGTGTCATTATCCCAAGAGACATTTTTGTGGTTTTATTCAGTACTTGTCAGTAGAATATGAAATTGCCTGAAATTGCCTGTGACCACTTCCCTTCTCATTATTAGTCAAAAGAAATGTAAATTGAAGTACAAGTATCTGATTATGTAAAAATCTCTGTGTGTTTCCATTTTAAATTGAAATATTTCATTATTCTGCTTTCAAACATTCTTGCTTAATGGTAGTTCCTCTAGGTACACTAATGGTACACTCTAGGTGTTTATATGATTGAAGTTGCCTTGTCTAATGGGCATTAAGGGTGTATGAAAAAGTTATTATTTCATTAGTGTTTTACAATGCTAAAATGGAAGTCCCCATAAATTTAGCGTCCTTTTACAAATGTGTGTAAAAAGAATAAACCCAGTTCCTAAAATAACTGAGTTTTGCAACATGAGCAAATATGGAAGCTATTTTATAGTTGACTTCCTGTACACACTCACTCACAACACGTTACTGGACTGGTAAAGAGATTCAAAGGATGATATGTTATGTACATTTATTAATTAGTATGGTATTCTGCCTGTAGTGGTCAGCGTAGCATCCCCCCTCCTCCTACAAATGCTCGGATACACATCCACACATAGTTTCTTCCATATGTTGTACTTTTGGCTGTGTTGGTATGCGACTTGTCCATCATATGTAAGGGACTCATTGAATTAATCACCATAAGAAAGATGGTTGTATGTTTTTTCATTCTCTCTTGTCTTTGGTACTTAATTTGTGTATCATTACAGGCAGTACTTTGTTGTGATAATGAAGGATGGGCCATTTGAGCTGTGGGATCTTCGCAATCTGTGCATATTACGGACCATGCCTAAGAAGTTTCCTACCGTCTCAGCTCTGGTGAGTATTTGGTGAACCACTGCTGTCAGGTCATATGGTTGTCTTGTCAATATTAACTTTAGAGTATAGATAAAAACTGGTTGTTTTTAAAACTTTTAATTACTTAATTAATCACCCAACACTGCATTATAGTGGTTAGCAGTCATATTCCGTTTTTAAGTCCAAGAATTGAATCTTGACTCAGAAGTGCTGCCTTGAGTGAGGGTTTTTGCTGTTTGCCTGAGTTCCTGTAGGCAGATAATGGGCTAATGTTTCAGACTGTTTCCGTTTGCATCTGTGCATGTCCTTCCCTATTCATGACTCATAGTCTGCTGTACAGTAAAGTTTATTCAGATATGTCCTTCCTACAGAACTCCAGTAGAGGCTCTGCTCCTGATCCAGATGTGATACATTCATCTTACTCCTCAACTTAATGCTTCGTCCAGTTCCCTTCATCACTTATTCTTTGTGATGTCTTTTATGTTCGTCATATGTGCATTTGTAATGTTTCTTTTTAAACAGGTAGTGATTGTTGTATTTAAGAATAAATGTATTCTTGCAAATAACTGTTTTCCTAAGAATAATATCTTACGGTAGCTCGGCAGTTTCTTGTCTTTTAAGTTAGTCCTTCAGTCTGACATTTTACTGCAAGATAATGTTTACCATATTCTAATCTGTACATGGGGTGTAAATCTTCTACAGCTCTTCTTTTGTACCCATCTTTCCACGCACCCATCCTGCACCGAGGCTCCTTTGATTCCTGTTCTTCTGTTTTCGTTAATTAATCTGTCAAGTAACATATTCTGCCAAATCAGTTGTGCACTTGTTTGAGAATTGTTACCCTTTTCACATCATGAAATATTTTTGTAAGCCTGGATGGCTTTCGGACACTGCTGTACTAAGTTGGCACTAGGCCATGCTGTAGCTTAGTTAGTTGCCAGCTTCCCATCATGGCATTCTGGGTTCAATCCCAGGTCAGGTCATGTCATGATAGTTGAGATTTCTGGCAGAGTGGTACTACTACAGGTTTTCTTGAAGTACTTAGTTTCCTGTGCCAGTTCCCATTCCACCAGCTGCTTCTCCTCCTCCTCCTCCTCCTCCCCCTCCTCCTCCTCATCATCATCATCATCTGGCACTGGTACAGTAAGCCAAGTAGTACCAAGTGGACTGTCTCACCCCCCAAGATAATAGCCATTACTGTAATGCAAGCACTAAAGGTGATTTACATCACCCACTACAGCCATCTTTTGCTTTGAAAGTCTATGGGTGCTGGCTTTGAATGAGCTTTGCATGCTTGAAATACTGAAATATAATTGTAATAAAAGGTATGGGTGGAAGTTGGTTCAGAATGAAACACCAAAGACTAACCACCACTGTACTGTCTGTACCATATGAAATAATGCTGAACTTCTCTTTACTATCTTTTGGCAGCTGGTATCCAGGTGCACAGGTTTTGACTTGTATTTTCTGAAAATATGTTGCTTTTATCTGCCACACAAGGAATTCATGTTACCATTTCTAGACTTGCATCATAAAACTGAGGCATGTTTTCTGAAATCTGCAGGAATGGTCTCCACTCCACAATCTCAAGTCTCTAAAGAAGAAACTAGCTTCCGTGGAAGAGAAAGAGCAGGCTGAACCCATGAACTTGGCGACTAGCACTCCTGGTGGGGAGCTTGGTAAGGCTCATGACATACTGCTTTACATTGCTGTACCAGAGCTGTGTACTTCCTGTAATACAGTAACTTCTTACAGGCAGAGGGGAGGGCACTGATAAGCAGTTGGTTGCCAGGGAGCACTTTGTGTTCAGTGACTCAGAAAGTCAGCTTTACCATTTTTCTGTTGAAGGAAACATTGTCCGCGATGGCATCAAAATTCCACCTGAGGTAAAATATTTCAGTTTTTCTTTGTAAGAGATGTTATCGGTGTATTTCACTGTGTAGAAATATAATTTGTTCAGTATCCACAAATAAAATTCTAAAGTAGAAACTGATTGGTAAAAATAAACATACCCAAATAAATTAACATTAATGGACAATATGAGATAGAACTTGTATGACCCACAGATGCATAGGTGGGATGTCTTAAACTGAATGTTCACTGTGAAGAGAAGAAACTAGTTTTAAAAACTACTAAAACGTTTTTGTAGTAATATCTTCCAAATCATAATACTACTGTATAAATGAAGTCATTTTATTTATTAGTCTTTTAATGAAGAGTGAGTCATGGTATGTTCTGTTTAAAATTGTTCTGTTGTTTTTCAGCCAGGAGTTGGAACAGTGACATGCATTGCATTTAAAAATGATCAAATTGTACAAGGAGATGTAGATGGTATGCTGAACATCTGGGACCTGAAGGCCCGCACTTCCAGGAATATTCACACAGGTCGTGGATGGATCAAGAAGATGCGCTTTGCACCAGGAAAGGGAAACCTTAAGCTCCTTATTCTCTACAGTGATGGTGTTGATGTTGTTGACTTGAAGAAGGTACACTTAATGGTTGCTAGAGGCTAAAAGCTAACATTGTAAAAAATAAAATGAAAACAGTTTTTCTAAAAACTGCAATTAGCAACCAAAGGCACAAAGTGTTATGCCTTCTTGTAGGTATAGGTGGCATAGATAATTTCAAGGTCCTGAATGATATATAGATTAGTGATGTCCATTCAAGAGAAAATTACACATAAAGGCACTGGCTCTCACATATTTTAATGTTCCATGACCCTTTTTTAAATAAAATGTTTTTGCAGAACCGTCAAAACAAAACTTATGTTTTTTAAATACTTATTTTTAATTTACAACTGTCTATACAAGAAAGCATAATTAAATCCACCCCATATTTTAAGAAACAGTTTTTGTTGTACTTACTTGATGTGACATATAAACCTTGTTGGCCACAATGACCTGAAGTCAGGTACACTTTTGAAAAGTCATATTCTTATGTTGTGTTCTGTGTTAAGTTTGTTTTGGTATTTCATTTCTCTGTTGCATATCTTGAAAAATCTGTTTAATACAGATATATAGATGGAAATGAAAGTTTCTTTACAGCTGCATTTGAAATGTGTGGAAATTCTTTCACCATGCAAGTCCAGAAATTAACTGGAAGAACTGCTTGCATCTTTCAGACTTGTGTCTGTTGAGTTGTCCATTAATTCCTGATATTAATGTGTTAGTAATCCTTGCTCTGTGAGAGGGAACAGAGGTGGATTTTGTAGACTGCTGAAATCCTTCTATCACAGTAAAAATCGCTCTTTCATTGTTAGCTTTTAGACCATATAAGTATTCTATTGTATCTAATAAAAACTGATCACTTATCTGGCACTCAAGTTCATTCAGCAAATGGTCAGTGTTGGAAAATGGTCTATGACATTTTTATCAGACTATTTTTTTATCAGAACTCAATTTTTTCACATGCTAAGGTAGTGTTTATAGTTGTACCTTGGAGTGATAAATTTAGTTCATTTATCTTTGTAAAAACTGTATTCTAGGTATGAGTATATTACCCCTTGGAATGACACACTGTCATGCAGATGTGATGAAAGCTGGAAGGGCTGGCAACACAGAATAAACAATTTACGAATACAGTGTGAATGAACAGACCAAAACTCAGCCTAGCAATAACCATTGAACCTCTGTGTGCAGCAGTAGCACTGTGTAATTGCTACCCATTTAATTACAGAGCATACTGAAAATTCTTGAATTCAGTCTTTTTTTCAGCGGTTGATTTTATAAAATTTACAATCCTCACAAGCTTGTCTAGCATCTTCTTCAGTTGGTGTGCAATCCTATTCATAGCATCAAGTTGGGGCATTGGCTATAACATGTGAAGTTGAACCATATGTTTTTCCCAACCAGGTATTTTTCGTCATCTTTGCTGATATCAATGCACAATCAATTTTTGCATCTAAGACTTTTTCAGCAATGTATAGGTTAGTTGGATTGAAGTACACACATTTTACAGTTTGTAACACCATTGAAAATTCTTCCTTTTAGCAATATGAAAGAATATCCCAATTGAAATGTCCGAAAGATATGGTTAAAGTTCTGGACATAGATTGGGCTGCATCAGACAAACCAGTGTTGGCTACTCAGGATGGATGTCTCAGGATAATGGACATGATTCTGGCTACAAGCTATTCTCCACTGATGGATTATGAACTCCAAGGTGGGAACTTCTTTCTTTTTAGTGTTTACTAGTATCAAGGATGTACTGTGTTTATGTTAAACTAAGCAAAGCAGTAATTTTCTTTAAATCATGTTCAAAATTTGCCCTCTGTGCTGCCTGCTTCGTGCTGGGTCCTTGCTCGCCTTGCCTTTCATCACTGAAGATGGAGATTATGTGTACTGAAACATCAGTTTGCTTTCACTGAACTACACGTCATTGCATCCAACATGATACATCTCTTCATGGTAGAGATTAATCTTCTAAAACATGTTTGAGAAAAAAATGGATATGAAATAAATTAGTTGGGCCCGTTAGAAAGAGCTAGTCTCAGTCACTGGAACAGTGATTGAGACTAGCTCTTTCTAATGGGCCCAACTGAGTAGGTTTATCCTTCCCTACCCACCTGAAGACGGAGACAGATCCAGTGTCCGAAACGTCGCGGTCTTTTGTCTTTTACATACCAGAAAATGGATGAAGTCCAAAACAAGCCAAAAAAAAAGTTCACCACAGGTTGTTTAAAATGTGTTTACAGGAATTTAATTTCCAGACATTGATGAGACAGAAAAGTATAAAGAATATGTCTTGAATTCATGTATTTTGGAATTCCTGTTTAATTTCATTGGGCACTTGCACTAAGTGAAATGAATTTATGAAGATAAGGACCTTTCACATGATACTGGAGAATAAAGCAAAAAGAGGACAAGATGCCATCTGATCTCAGGTCCTCATGGGTTGTGTTGTAGCTGCCATAAAGGAGATGAACATTATCATCTGCTGCACTCTGTTTCATAGATATGGTGTCATATATGATTCACTGTGGCTTCGCGCAGGGTTCATCTTTTGCATGGTCTGCAAGATATTACTGAGAACTGTTGTTCATTTGGTTCATGTTCATCTTCATATTGCACATTTTATCAAAGATTAATTTGTCTTAGTGGTATGTGTTTTTCAGTTTGACAAAAATTATCCAAGTTATAAATCAGATAGTTTTTATATTTGCAAGTGAGTGAATCCCCATGCTTTGAACAAATTTCAGATCCAGTGTTCTGCCCATCACTGTTGCCCATTTCAGCAGTTACTAACCTTCAAGTGCTTCTGTCTGCACAGTTCTGGAGGGACAAATACTCACTGGATTTTTCTACTGATGATGGCTTCTCGGAGCAGGAGCTACATGGTAAGAATGTTGTGATGAATACTCAGTTGAATGAATGAGCTCAAAGGGATTCTGATGATGGTATGTTGCTCTTAGGATTACTGGATGTCTGGAAGGGCTGGCGAGACCTGTATTGTAAACCGTACATCTCCAAGGGACCCTATTCAAAAAGCGCCCATTTCAGTCATTCTAAAACACTAAAGGCTAGGGTTGTCTGCTCTTGTGCTGTTCCTCACACTGCATAGATCTTAACTTGGTGTTAGGTGGAGAGAACGTAGAAATTTGGAATAATTTATTAGATAAGGGGCCCAACTTTCAGTTCTTGCATAGGTCCCAAAAATTTAGTTGGTCAGCTCTGGTTCCTGGGCCTTTACCTGTATCATCTATTGGTGAACAGAGTACAGTATTTTGGAAACTGGATGTGTTTTCACCCTCAGGTGGAAAGGTGGGGAGGCATGCATCAGTTGAGTCTATTACAAAGAGCTAGGCTCAACCACTGGACAACTGAAGACAGTAATAGTAACAGTATATGCACCTGAGGGCAGAAATAGATCTGGTTTCTGAAAAGTTGTGGAATGCCATAAACCTAGTGCTCTTAAATTCAATTGAAGTTGTTAATCCCATTACTATTACTATTTATTCAGCATTCCATAAATCCTTACATGGTTTTTTCAAAACACCACGGATATAGAAGTAGTCAACATGAGTAAGCATAATTACATACTGCATCACATTTGTGCAATGTCATAACAGTAGCCATATATAAATATTTACAAAAACATGAATACATGAACATGGATATAGAAGAAGTCAACATGAGTAAGCGTAATTACATACTGCATAACAATTGTGCAATGTCATAACAGTTAGCCATATATAAATATTAATAAAACATGAATACATGAACATAAACCGTCACATGCAACAATAAAGTGCTATTACCTACAATCTGTAACAAAATCAGGAACATCAGTTGTTATCCTAATTGTATTATGTTTATTATTATTTTATTTCATTTAAAAATCCAAAATAAGGATACAGAATTTGTCATGATATTCTCAAATACATATCACACCACAAAACATACGGGAAAACTGATTAATATCATCAAATAGGCACATACACAGTGGACACAACAGAATAAAAATTGTAAGAATATCAGTAGTTATAGGTTATAAAGATCAATAAATATCAAACAAATATAAATAAGTCAATAAAACCAATCATATATATATATATATAAAATAAGAATTAAAATATCCAAAACTATAAATTCCATTGTCTGGAAAGTGTTTTGTTTGATGAATTTTTTTAATTTGGTCTGCTTTATTAATAGACAGTTTCCTCTTCCAGTGAGATGAGTGGCCAATGGTAAGATTTCCTTCACTTATAACAGATCTAACTTCCTGCAGGCTTATAGATTTTGATAAGGGAACAGTATGTAATTGAAAAGATAGGCAAGAGAAAGTACAGATGTATTGGTGGTAGAATATCTGATATTGTCTTGCTTTGTCAATGTTTCTGTGTGCACGCTCTGTCAAATATTTCCTTTCTTCACACCTGTCCATTTTGAATGTAGAAGGATGTAACATATTTGCATATGGATTTTTCAGACAATTGTTAAATATAACAGAAAACAGATTTATGAGAGTTTTTTCTTTCCTCTCAAAACCTAGGCTTATGGTCAGTTTTACAAAGTTTTGTTTCATTCTTTTTTTGATGTGGTTCAGACGTAGTGTGCATTGGATTTCATGAGAAATGTATGGAACATTTAGGTCAGAAAAACCTAATGAGAATAGACCACTTCGGAGAAATAGATGTGTGTAGATGAGAGAATAATATTAAAATTTATGTTTAGAGTAGAGTGTGAGAGTGTGTATTCTATATTCATCAACTTCAGAACACAGTCCTGTGGTGGGCTCTTGTGAACATAATAACAAACTTTTTGGTTCCGTAAATTTTGAATTTCTTGACTAGCCAGGTGAGTGGGTATTGCCTTCTCAAGAAGAATTACTGATATTGTTTTGCCTGAGCTACTTTCAGCATTGTTAAATAAACCATAAATGAGTGAATTGTATTTCATGGCACGAGTGTACATGTCATTGTATCATTAAACAGAAATTAGGACAAGAGTTGTGATTCACCAGTATCGTTCAGGAAATTGAAGTAAAATGAATTCATTTCCTAAAACTATACTTGTTTGTGAAGAATAAAATACAATTGAAGAACCTTACATGTAAGATACAGTGTATTTGTGAATATGTAGATGTTATACTGTGTAAGACATCGGCAGTGTGGTGCTAGGGCTCAGATTAGCTTCTGCATGAGTTATTTGTTTTCCTTGCACGAAGTGGTCAAAGAGCAGCTGGAGCTGATGGATGAAGAGCAACTTCAGTATCTGCAGCAATGTCCACTGGGTACAGCTGAGAGAAGCCTCATAGCTGCACAGCTGTTTGGTGAGCAGTTCGAGGTGGATTTCTGGACAGTGGCACTCTACTATCTTCAAGTTGCAAAGTTGGAGACTAGGAACAGGTGACACATGAATATCACAAAATATTAATGTAAGGAATACATATTTCTGTTCTACTTATATTTGGTCTTATGGTATACTGAGTCATTTTAGGTACCCTCTGGCTGAAGTTGCTACTTTACCAGTTTTCTTATAATTCCTTAAATAGGTAGGTAGAAGTGTACAGTTTTGTTCTGCCACAAATTGTCTCTCTGACTTACATTTTATGAGGGCTATTCAGTAAATGGAGGTTACTTTTCAAATAGCCCTTGTATTTTTGAAGACTCCTGTGTTTGATATTGGAAATCAAAAAACATTTCTTCTTCTGAAACATGCTGGTTAAGAACACTTTGGTCCTTTGCAGTTTTCTTTTAGATGGACCACTTAGAAGATGTGGAATATAGAGCAGTGTCCTAAGAAATGCCAAAGATTCAAGTGTGTTCCATTTTCTGATTTTTGCGGGGGTTTACAAACAAATATCTTATTTGTATAATGAGTTTCAGATTTTAGGTTGATCTGCACATGGAGAGTTTAGACTGATACCCAGATATTTTAGAAACCAGATACATGAGTTCATTATTGCTATTTTCTTTGGGAGATCAATTACTGGCTATGCACAAGGTAGATATGCAACTTTTTATTCACAGCAAGGCCACAGATGTGGACCAAGCAGCAGGGGTTGACCTGCGAAACACAGGATCCCCATCACCACTGGACACAAGGAGAATTAACAGATACCCTCACCTTCAACCTCTGGATACATGTTATGATGTTCTGTGTGACTCATACACATACCAGGTGAGGATATGTGGTGCATGCCTGTTTGGGCTTGTGTTTGTAGGAGATGTAACTCGAGTTTAGTTGATGTGATTCTTTTCATGATATTGGATGTTTCATATTTTTTATCCCAGTACCCACTGGGAAAAAGGCAGTAATTTATGACCACAGATAATGCCACAGTTCAAAGCTATACAATAAAATTGTCTTCAGAAGCACAGGGCATCAACTTAATTGTTCTTTCTCTTGTTTTGAAGAATAAGCAATTTAAATGCATTATCATAATAACTGTAAATGAGTGTAAACTGAGTTTCATGTGTAAAAGCTCATTATTTCATAATTTTCTATACAGGCATATATAAGGAGTCTTAATGACTTGGTTTTCATTTGGAGTTCCAAACATGAAAATGTAATACAGTAAAACTTGGTTATAGCAACATCGGTTTCTGCAACACCTTGTCTATTGCGTCAAATATTCAATGGTACGAACTAATTCCTCATAAAGCAACTGTTTTTATACCTTGCTTAGTACGACATGCACAAATGCATCAACCTCGTATGTAACGTCATTTTCATTCCTGAATTTCTCTGATATGGACATTGAACGTAATTTAGAAAGTGTGTATTGGGCAAGTAACAGGAAACAGATGAAGATAACTGATTACTGTACTCGTATCTAGGTACAGTAAGGCACAACAATTGATGTAATCTACTGTAATTTGGTGAGTAGGCCTACCTTTAATATACAGTATTAGTGCGGTGTGTATTGTCAGTGAAAAGCGCTGTAATATGTCTTTGATATTACACATTTGGGCAATTCCACGTAAATGTTACGTTAGTCTGTACTTAACTATGTATTTCACTAAAAAATGCAACATTTTAACTCGGTTTTTGGTAGATTTTTACGTGACTAACATAAGGCTACTGTGGAAGTGCCCATTTCGGTTACAACGACATTCGTTTATAACGACACTATTTTTAGGTCCCTTTGATGACGTTATAACCAAGTTCTACTGTAATTATAATTTACTTTATGATACTCTGCACTTTAAATGCCAATTTGATCTGGCACTGGGGTTTTGTGAGGAACTTATTAAGAGTGTAGTACAGTGTAATGTAGTGGTATTTAACCTTTTTTGTTTATGTACCCCCAGATATAATTTCTTTTCAACTTTCTACCCCCAAAGTTGTTGGTGTATAATTCAAGTTATACACAGTCCATAATCTACATTTAAAATAAATAGAATAAATTACATCTTAAATAGTGTATTAAATAATAAGTTTTGAATATGAAAAAGGAGGATGGCACTAAGAAATATATATTATATTATTGCCTATCATATAAAAATTAATAAAGGAACAAAAGTATTTTAGCAAAGCAAAATTATATGATTAAATATTTTATCAATTATTAATGTGGTTCTGACCTGTTAATGAGATGATTGAGCTTGTTTGTGGCATGCCAGCACCTCAGTTAGTGACAGATTTTATTTTTATGTACCCTGTAAGATGTCTTCATGTACCCCAGGTTGAAGACCGTTGCTGTAATGCAACACAGTTTGGTAATCATTGGTTTAATTATTTATCAGAAATAAAAATGTATATATTTTTCTCAGATTACTACTTACACTTTGCATACAGAGACTACAGTTGGAACGTGTAAGTCTACATGAGAGCAAACGAGGGGATTACCAACATACTAAGAAGGTGATAGAACAGCTGATCTTGCTCGGTGAGATGGACCGTGCTGTGCAGTTGCTGCTGGAGACAGAACTAGAGAACCCTCATTACTACACTGATGCCATCAAGTAAGAAAGGAAATATATTTTCATGACTTCAGTGACTAGACATGGAGTTTGGATTGCTGCAGAAACATGTTTATCGGCCATTCCATAGCAACAGCCATCTCTTCTGGCTCCACTGTTCCATTCTCTTAGCTTTGTAATCTGCGTTGCTGAGAGAAGCAATAAATGTACTGAAAAGCATGTGTTACTACCTCAGTACAGTTTGGATCTGAGCATGAACTTCTTGTGTTCCATTATCTACAGAGTAAAGGAGGTTTCTCATGATTTCAGGTATATTCATTAGCAGAAACATATTGCAGATATCAGATTTGAGGTCCTCACAGCAATGGGTGTGGCAGGTTCTGTCTGTTGGGATATATTGATTGAAAATCAATCACCATCTTTAGGAATGTGCAGGAGCTTTGCTTGCTAACTGCTTTGTGCTGGTTTCTTGCTTGGCTTCTTCGACCCTGAAAATGGAGGTAGCATCCAAAATGTTGGTTGACATTGAACGGACTCTACAGTATTATGTCCCAGAAGACAGAACACTTTGGGAAGACAATTCATTCCAGAAATAGGTCCCTGATAAAATGTGACTAGTTGTGGGCGGTTTTCATCCATATCAATATTTGCATCAGAAATTTCTCTTATCATGTCCCTTCAGTTACTCATTCTGGATCTGCCTTGGAACGTGCAATGCTGAATGTTGGAATTGATGTGACAGTTTATATGTCTCATGGGAATATCCACAAATTTGACAGATTGACATGAAAAAATAAATGAAACTACATAATTCTTAACATTGTTGGCGGGGGCCATGTATGTGTCAGTAATGATTACTGCTACTGCTGCTGCCGCTGCTGCCACAGATGTTGTCACTGTCATTATTGTTGTTATGCTTACTATTATTTAGCTGTTGGTACCTCGAGGTTGTAGTTATCAGTGCACATTAGAAATTAATTGCATTCTTTATTATTCACTTTCGAAAGCACACAAAATCATATGCCTTCAGACAGATTCTGACACCAGCATTGATGTAAATGCTGTTATTACTTTTATTTCGCCTTTCAGGGCGTGTTTGGTTGCAACAATCCAGTCAACAGGAGCAGCACAAAGCACCATCAAGTTAGTGGCAACAAATCTTATTGCCAATGGTAACATCTGGGAGGGTGTGCAACTGCTGTGTTTGATTGGCAAGGGCCTAGATGCATGTCGCTATTTGCTTTCCTACAGCCTGTGGGAAGCAGCTGTTTGGCTGGCCAAGTCAGTACTGCCAACCCCTGAAACTCATGAGGTGATGCGCAAATGGGCTGATCATCTGTGGGTTAGTGGGCAGAAGGTTAGTATTAGTTAGTAATAAACATTAGAAAATGTGGAGAGATACAAAGTACATCTTTGAATCCAAATCAGTACTCTGTCCCCCCCCCCACTTTTATCTGCCAAATAAATAACTCCAGAGAGTGATTTGGAAAGACCTGTGAAATGTGTGTATGCTGATACACGAATATGCAAAAACCATCAGTAGTGGGCAACTTCCATGATGGGAAAATTAAAAATGTGCCGTTAGTGAAATTTGCATTTACAATGTGCGCTGCAGAGAAAAGGGAGACGGAATGAATGGTAGCTGTTCAGTTAGTTGGTTAACCCTTTGGCGCGGTGATTTAAATTCCGCTGCCGTGTCTCTCCGGCGGTAATATTTTCAGCCGACCATTTAAATTTTGCTCGTAAATGATTTATTTGTCATTATTCTTAAATTATATGAGATAGTAACATGAATCTTTCACTAAAATAATCTTAAAAGGTGGTTTTATAATCTTACCTTATAATGTGAGCGCCCTGTATCTCGGCGATGGAAGCAGCTGGTTTAGAAGTGTAGTAGTGTATGATACGCCTTGAAGCATTCTTCTAAACACAACGCTGCCTCGCATTCACCACACCAATACTGCGTATCTTTTCTCTGGCCCTTTTTTCCGCAAACCACACACCTTCTGTGCGGTCTTGCCTTCTTCCCCGTGGGGGGAATTCGCTCAAGGAAATGTCTTTCCGTGAGTCGTTTAGGCGGCGGAAGAACTGACGGACGGCCGTGTACAGGACGACGTACCCCAGAACTGTGCTTTTCCACGAGACCTTGAACTAGGGAAAGTCTGAACTGTAGAGTGTCCAGGTTTTGTTTGTTTGTGTGGGACCGATAGATTACCATACTGTTGTGGATTGCTACATTGAGTAACCGCCTGAACAATTTTAGGTACCACTTGGTACCCTTCTTTCGTTCAAGCAGGTACGGTTGTAGCATCTGGTCTTTCAGATCCACCCCGAGCATGTTTTTGTTGTAATCGCAAACAACCACAGGCTTTATTTCTGTCTTGTTTGCACGATTAACAACCACACGCATATCGTTTTTATGGTATGTGGATATCATGGTCACCCTTTTTTTGTCTTGCCACGCAAGAACTGCCACGTCTCCTGAGTGTTGAGCACAGTGTTCACCTTTTTTCAATTTCTTATCTTTCACTAAGGGAGGGACATTTTTCCTGTTGGGACGTAAGGTTCCAACACAGTCTGTATTTTTAGACTTCAAGAAACGAGCCAAATCAGGGGAGTTATAAAAATTATCCATCCACACTGTGTGTCCGCGACCCAGAAGATTTTCTAACAGTGTTATTACAATTGCTGTAGTTTTGTTTGTCTCTGCAGTCACATACTGATTTGTTAGTTCCATTCCTTGTCCAGTATAGACAAGAAAGGACCAAACATAACCAGAACTAGACTCGCAGAGTTCAAACGTTTTGATACCAAATTTCGCAGCCTTGAGTGGCAAGTACTGCTTGAAAGACAGACGACCTTTCCATAGGGTCAAGGATTCATCTATGGCAATGTTGTGACCTGGAAGATAGAGAATCTGAAATTTTCTACTCAGGTGCTGAATGACGGGATAAATTTTGAAAAGTTTGGAAGGGCCTTGGTACTCATTTTGCTTGCTGTTGTCCGAAAAATGCAGAAATCTCATTATGACCTCAAGTCTTTCCAGAGGTAAGGTCTCTGCAAAAAACGGAGTGAACAGCAGGCGGTTCTTTGAGTAATAAGACCTCAATGTAGGCCTCTGATCAATGCCAGTCAACATAATTAGTGCCAAAACCACGTACATTTCGTCCACTGTCACATCTTCCCACTTCCGAATCCTAGAGCGAAATGTGAGAGGTCTGGCGATTTTCGATATTTCCTGTTGAGCATACCTGTTCGTTTCATCAACAATCAGCTGCACAAGGGAAATATCGAAAATGCTTTCAAAAACACTGACGACATCTAGTTCGGCAGTGTCGAACTGGGGACCGCACACACCACAAAACGATTCTCGCGAAGCGTGAAATGAATCGATATCTTCCCACACAAATCTCCTGGGCACCTCTTCCAATTCATCGTGGGCCACGATATCCTCAGGCTCACTGTCCCTTTCACTAGCACTGATGGTTTCAGGTGGCACCAGTTGTGTGTAATCATAGTCCGATGCACTCTCATCATCTGAACTATAATTACTTAGGGTTTCGTCGTCTAATACTTCGTTCAGCGCGGTCACTTGTTCGACCTCCGTCAGCGCACGACTTGTGGAAGGGCCAGCCATGATACCACTCAAAGTTTCGAAGTAAACTGTTGGTGGCCTGGTGTATGGAAATTATAAAGACACGCGTCTTTAGCTGGCAGCTAAAGACACGTGTCTTTAGCTTGCCAGCTTAGCTGCAGTAAATTCAACCTTTGTGTTATCATACCAATGGGTTGGTGGTATGCGTTTTGGCTGCAGCAGATGTCATAGGGGTGGCCACAAAATTCATGAAGTTATTCTAAGAAATGGCTGGTATGTAGTGCACGAAAGCGCGAGCTTAACTGGCTCAAAAAAAATATTTATGGCCATCCCTCGAAACGACCACCAAGGTCAGTACGATAAACTGGAGTCAACTGGAGCGATAAAATGCGTTCTTTTCCCCCCCCACACACACACCCATCGTCACAGGGGGTGACCACAGTGTTCTGCCTTAAATTGTGGCGTTTTTCTAAGAAATGGGTGCTAAGTACTGTGCGAAAGCAATCGATTTTACAAGAATAAACTTTTGGACAACCCTCTTCCAAGAATTCCAAGTGAGTGTGTTACTGTGGCCAGCTCAGGGTAATATGATATTATAAACATCGTAAATATCACGTCTCTGTTGTTTATATCTTCAAAGCAAAGAAAACACGCCTTTCATAACGGTACAGCTAGAAACCGCTCGCCAGAGCCACAGGAAATTTGCTGCAAGACAGGCATATGTAACGACCACTTAGCGCAGCTAAACTCGTGCCTCATTATAAACCGTTCTTGTGACAACAGGCCAGCGAAAAATCTAACAATCTACAGCAAAACCATCAATTATTATGGGCGTTATAACATAGGTGTGCAGCTGGACGAAACATACACGTCGAACCCCCCCAGACGATTTAAATCCCTGACGAAACATACACGTCGAACCACGGCAACGGGTTAACATTGTAATGGACAAATAGCCGTCCTTTCACATGTTGGATCTAATTATAATAAATAGGTACATCATTCTGTCATCCTAGATGGCTAAAAATTTTGTCTGAATTTGGTTCAGTGTTTATTGAAAATGAGCACAAGCAAACCTCAACCTCAGTGCCCTCCAGCGGCTGCAGAATTGTGCAGTGTCGTGTGCTCAGTTAAGAAGAAACAGCTACCAAACTTCAGAATGTAAAGGCAGGCTGTGTATAGACTTGTGTGTTTGAATTTACCATACAGAGGTAAACCCCTAAATTAGAGTTCAATCATGAAGAAAGGAAATGTGTTATACATTTGGACTAATGTATATACATATTATTTGGTTTTATTTCAGGAATCTTGTCACCTTTTGGAACAGCTCTTGATATACTGTTAGGAAAAATTGTCACAATAAGATTCTGCTGTGTGTTTTCTTTCAGGTACTTTTTAAACAATACTTTAAAGCAGGATGAATTTTAAAAAATGCATCTTTCAGTACTAATACTGTTATGAGTTAAAGTCTGGCCACCAGTTCGATAGTATGAGGGTTTAAATCATCCCTTATTCCTGTATGATTACAGTTAAACCTATTTCCTTTTCTATTGTTGTACTCTGGAGATATTAAAACAAAATTTCAGTACCGCTTATTACTAAGAGGAATAAGCAGCTTCCATTCTGTGATGCACTTTTCATAGAGATTTTATTGTAGTATTGGAAATATTAATCCACAGTTCTGAAATGTGGTAATGTAATTTCTGTTTCAAGAACAAGGCATTATTGGTAATGCTGTCAATGTGCCAATTTGAGCGTGTGTTGGAGTTACTGGGGGCTCAAAAGCTGCATATTCAGGCTGGTCTTCTGTTGCAAGCTTGTCAAGAATTTGGGATATTCTCACCTGCAGTTCGTTCAACAGATATCCTTTTAAAGCCACAGAAGATACATTATTATTCACAGGAATATTATTGTGATAACATTCCTGTGAAGGTTTGGATATTGACATTGAGCCCACACTTCTTATAGTCATTTGAAGAGATGCGACAGATTTCAGTTTTGTATCCACTGTTCAATGAATTTGTTATGTTACATAATTAGCACACCATTTTTTTTCCCACATTAATTCGCCCCAGAATTAACGGGCAGATTGATGTATTGGTACCATTGTAGACTATATTTAGGACGTATACTAGATATCAGCACTAAATAACAGCCACCCAAAAGAACTGCACTTAAATTCTTAGTTCTTGTTGTCTTTTGTTCCAAGCTTGCATAAATTTCCAGGTTGAGTTCCAGGGTTTTCAATCAGCCAGTTGTAGATTTGATGCCGATGTGGACCCCCTCTGTGGTCTAGTGGTCAGCGTTCCTGGCTACAGATCCAGAGGTCCGGGTTTGATTCCTGGCGCTACTTAGAAGTAGTGGGTCTGGAATTGGGTCCACTTAGCCTTGTGATGATAATTGAGGAGCTATTTCAAGGAAATGAATGTGGATTAGCCAACTACTCCTTTCCTGCGCAAGGAGGATATACAAGTTACCAGTAAGCTGTTACTGAATCACTTCTCCATTAGACCCACTTTTTGTTATCATGCCTTCTTTACTCAGAAACGTTTGTAATAGTAATAGACATATCCTGATACTATCTCCACCCACTCTCCGATCAGAACTGTAAAATTCAGTCAGATGTAGTGAAGAATGCATAATTTGATGTTTCAGAATCCAAACAGGAATTGTTCTGATTACAGTCTCTTCTGCGACAGTATGTACTGTAAATGTATTATATTTTTAAGTGAAGAATTAATTAGTTTGTAGATTTCCTTATCTGAAGCCACAGCCACTACTGATTGCTGTTGACCTTGATTTTGCAAGACAGCTGTTCTCCTTAAGAAACCACCAAGCAGCCCTGGTACTTAGTGAAAAGCTTGGAGAGCCAGGGCAGCAACTGCACAAGGAGTTTCAGATCCTTTCTGAAGAGAGATGATCACTTCTGTGACTTTGAACAGTTCCACCACATTCCTTTGCATGAGAAACAGTGAGTGTGAACAGTGTCAACTCTGAGTTTTCCTTTTATAGCATTTCACTGTGTTAATTCTGTCAACATGATTTGAATTCTCATGTCCACATTCATTCATCAGTAATCTGTCAAGACGACAGGTCCACAGTCTCTTCCAAAACAGTTCCTCCACTTGATGCGATCTAGAGCTTTCTCCTTCAAATGAGAATATCCTCTTCTGTCCCCAAGGTCATCCAGCATCTTCTTACATCTTCTTCCTCGTCTTCTTGTCACTTCTATCCGCCCCTCTATCTTTCCTTCAATAACTTCTTTTAGAAGGCAGTTTCTGCGTAAGATATGACCAATCCAATTAGCCTTCCGTTTTCTTATTTCATGTAGGATATTCCTCTGCTCACTGACTCTAATTAACACTTCTTCATTTCTCGCATAATTGGTCCAACTGATCTTCTCCAGCCTTCTCCAACATCACATTTCGAAACTTTCGAGGTGTTTCTGATCTACTGCCCTAAGTGTCCATGTTTCAGCCCCATACAAAGACATGCTCCAAATGTAGCATTTCACTAGTTTCTTTCTCAAATTTAAGTCCAATTTGCTGGTAAAAAGATTCTTCTTGCTAAATGCAGCAATGCATCCATATGCATTATTATTATTCCCATATAGTAAAATTGGTCTTCCCTTAATTTATTGCACATGTTAATTACTGTATAGGATACAAGATATATTCCTTTACAGAAACTCAAGAGAAAGCATGATGGTATGTGGCTAATAGGTAATAGGTGTAGGTAATACCTTCCATACCTCTCTGGGTGTGAAACCCGAACTCCCACAATAGAGATACATTTTTGGAAGAAATATTCAGTTTTTCTTTCACAGTGCATGGTATTTTGCTGAATTTGAAATAAAAGCATAGATACTTTTATTTTTGGCAACAGTAGGTTAAAAGATGAGCATGTATTTTGTTAGCAGCATTAGACTGGCAACTACTGGCTGCTGTTGTGTGAAGGGAAAGTGCTCTGGCCTCATATATTGACAGAAAAAATCATGCCTGGTGAAGAGATGTGTAGTGGAAAAATAAGCTAAAGTAATGTGAACAATGGGAATGAATTGTAGTGAATGTGATGCGATAAAAGGCTATAGGAACAAAGTTTGATTTCTTAAACAATCATTGTGAACATTTGTAAATTTCATTGTTCTCAAACTTTGTTAGAGGCACAAACCCTTGTGATCTGAACGTTTAATTTATACCAGTGTATGGAAAATTGGATATGAAATAAAAATTTATTAAAATGTTCATTAAGGAAACTTATGTAAATAAAGAGGTATTCTGTAAAATCTTGAATCTTGAATTCCTCTCTTAGAATACCAGTTTCAATTGCTTAATTTTCTGCGTTCAGAGAAATAGATTTAGCTCCATCATTTAAAGTTGGAACATGAATGTATTTTCATCTGCCTAACATCACTAACCATATGTATGAGTACATTCAATAGCTGAGAGAAATAATTCTTCCACTATTCAAAATATTGTGGGAATCTTTTAGCAGGTCACTGTTCTCATCAATTGCCAAGTTAGTTATAGGTTGGTGACCATTCTTAAATTCTTTTATTCCTCTATATTAGTCTCCAGGATTCTTAATGTGTGTTGCAAACTCTTCCAAATATTCCCTCTTTTTGTTCCTGAAATGTTTTCTAGCTTCATGGCTTACACTGTTCAGATTATCTTTGGGTTTCTTTCTTTCTTTTTCTGTCTTTCTTTCTTTCTTTTTTTCTTTCTTTCTTTCTTTCTTTCTTTCTTTTTTTTTGTCTTGAATCGTTTAATCATTGCAAGTTGACTTGTTTCCTTTGATCTATTCTGAAAATCGTTCAACAAACCATGGTTTATGGTTTGTAACAATCTAGACTCTTTGGCTGAAATTTTGATATTCTCTCTAATTGTTTCCCAAGCTCTTTTAATATTTCTATCATCTTAGTTTTCCAAAGCTATGAATCTGAGATTGAAACTCTCCTTACCAAAATTTTGCATTGATCATTTATTTACTGCCAGTCTCTCCCTAACTTTTGCCTTCACCAGATAGTGATTGGTATCACACTTCAGTTCCCTGAAAGATCTGAAATCAGGTGCACTTGAATGCCATCTTCCATATATCAAAATGTGGTTGATCTGATTTTGTACCTTTTCATCAGATGTCCAAGTACTTATGAATGTTCAGATGTGGGAACTTTGTACTCTTGACCATCAGATTTTTGGATGTAACAAAGTTACTGCTCTAACTCCATTATTGTAACTAATTTTGTGCAAAATCATGTTCCCAGTTGTTGGTTTGAAAACATCTTCTCCACATACTTTGGCATTGAAATCTCCCAACAGAATTTTCATATGGTGTTTAGGGAATTTATTAAATACATCTTGTAGTTCCTCATAGAAGCTTTCTTTTGTCTTATCAGTTGTAACTTCTATTGGGGCATGAGCATTCAAAATAATGATATTACATCAGTGACCTCTTAGTATTATATATGGCAACTTATCACTAACAAATCCTACCCTCTTAACTGCTGATATAATTCTCTTTATGTACAGAAGTCCTGTCCCTAATTCACGATTCTCATTCCAACTTCCACAGGAAAAAATGTATAATCACCTGCTGGTGTAGTGATACCCCTGTCTCATCTGACCTGCACTTGCATAGAATCTTATAGTTTGCTGTTTCTCTTGCAACTGTTATCTATGAACCTGCCCTGTAGAGGCTCCTTAAATTCCATGTGCCAGATCTCATGTCCATATTCCTTAGCTTAGGTCTTTCTAGCCAATCTGTCCAAGTAGAAGGCTCTGTGTAACATTTGGTAACAAACTGGTTTTTTATGTCGAGTGCTTAGTCGCATGTCTAACTCTCAAGCTGGAGAAACACCCCTTGTCAGCTACCTATGACTGCTTATTCAGTATATTCATAGCTACTCCCCATATCTGGATGCTGTCTCCATCTTCAATCTGCCAACCTTTTGATCTTCACTACTTGTACTTCTTTGAATTAATTGCTGTCAATTTGAATTCCTGAAGACAGTCTTCATATCTTATCACCTTCCAGGATCTGTAGTGAAACACATTTTGTTTCATTCTGTTGTGTAACTGACTACAGATAGCCACCTCCTAGACATGCAGGTGCTGCACAATCCAGTGGCAGCAGACATAAAACAGTATTACCCCAGTAACAATAACTGTGAAACCAACAAAATTACCCCCATGCCCCACTCCCTGATCCCTGTGAACAACAGTGTCAACAAGGACTCAGGCCAAGCTGCACCAGGGAGAGCAGTGTAACAAGGCAACACTTGAAGTGGACCAGATTGGGTTCAATGCCACACATTTACATAAAACATTTAAGATCCACAAATTCAGCTACATAACTACAATTTTAACCAATATAAAAAGCTAACCCATTGTAGTATATAATATAGTAAGGCAAAAGGTAAAGTTCTCTGTGTGTAGTTAATTAAGTACCACTCCATGAAGACATGTGGGGGAGTGGAGGTATAGCTCCACTATTCTTGACCTCGGCACTAGATGGAGGTGAGCGTTCAGCTTCATGCCCTGTGGAAAGAGCCCGAAGTACTCACTGGAGAGGAAGCTAGATGGGCCCCACAACTGGTCTGGGTGCTGTCGTGTATTCTAGCATTCAGTGCAGCAGATGTCTGGTAATCATCATGACTGTTGTCTTGTGTTTAATGAAATGTCAATGAGACCTTACACTTCAATTAGAAGATTTGCTGTGCTGAGGATTTTATTTTCTAGGAAGTCAAGACAGGATATGCAGCATTCCACATCATGCTCCAGTCGCATCTGAAGTGGAAACATCCAGTGTCTTACTGAAGCACTAAGGCTGAGATGAAGGTGCAGTTGAGTGGCATTCTTATCAGAATGCTGGACTGCAGGTTCTTGCAACTGATGCAGACAGTGTAAAGATGCAGTAACTGTTGGGTGCTACCAGAATTTGTATTGAAGAAATTGTAACATCAACTTGCTTGCATCCAGAATTTGTTCCTCAAGTATGATGTCCTCTTGAAGTTTGAGCGACTAAGAAACCAGTGTCCTGTAATCACTGACTGGGCACAAATTCTGAACATATATGAACTTGACAAGCCCTGTCTGTTCTGCCAGCATTATAAGCTACCAGGTGACTAACCTGAACCCCATTACACAGCATGCCAAGGCTGTAGAACATGTCATATACAAATAAAAACATAAATGCATAGTTGGACATTATTTTGTAAAGGTATTGTTTTATGCAGAATAAAATAATTATGTTAAAGATTTAAGAATTTTTTATTGAAATACATTCTTTTACAGGGTAGGAATGGGTTCAAGAGAAAATGTTTCTTTGCTGGCTTTAGTACTTTTATATCATGATTTAAACATTTAGCACTAGGAGGATGCATACCTTGATTTTTAATACATTCCTTTCTAAAATCTTGGTATGTGACATATGTAATTGTGTGTGTATGGATTTTAAAACTTTTCCATGTTTTTTTACAGTGAATGGTGGTAAAGGGCCTAAGAGTTCATCGCTAAGGTGACAAATGTTAAATTTCTTATGTAATTATCTAGAAGATACTGTGACGTGTTACGCTACGGTAATAGGCAGGTCAACACCCTNTGCCGCGCGTCCCCCCCCCCCCCCCCCCCCCACCAATGGTGACGTGCCGAGCGGAGCCAAAGTGAACATAAAAAGCAAACACAGCTACTAGGCAACAAGGAAGTGAGGCGTTTCCCATTGTCTGGTTGAGGGTTTATAAGAGAACTACACTGCCTACACAGTCAGTTAAATTGTAGCAGCCTATGAAGCGAGTTAAAGTGTAGCCGTCCCCGGAGACAGTTTAATGTGTAGCAGCCACTTAAGACAGTTGGAATATAGCAGCCGTCGTGGAAATAAGAACGGGACGTGTGTGTGATAATCTGTGATTTTTCCTTTTTTTCCTGTGGCGTTACAGCCCCAATTTGGGCCTAGGCCTACCTCCATGAAACTCTCCGTTTCACTTCGGTTTACTAGATCTTACACATTCGGTAGGACTCCTTGGGCGAGTGATCAGCTCGTCGCAAGGCCTCTACCTGTAGACAAACACAGAAAAACGCACACAAACATCCATGCCCTGAGTGGGATTCGAACCCATGATCCCGGCCTCCGAGCAAGCGAAGACAGTGCATGCCTTAGACCGCTCGGCTACCGTGACCGGCGATAATCTGTGATAGTTTGTGATAACTGAGTAATAATTGGGAGTGTATGATACAGTGACACTTGTATAGCTCCTGTATCGTAATTAATACATGTGTAGACTACTGAGGACAGTGTGAAGAGATTTATGTGTAGGGTTTGTAAAGTGTGGAAATCCATAACATTGCTATAATTAATTGTAGCCGAAACTTGTAGGTTGTTAAATAAACCAATTAACAATCTGAACGGCATCTTCAGTGGCTAAATACGTTACAATACTTTATTTTTATGCTTGCTGTTTTTTGATGCTTATATTTTCTACTACCATTGAATTCCCTGAGAAGAATACTCCATATGACATAATGGAATATATAAAGAAAGTAAACTATTTTATAGTTTGTTTTAATGATTGAATTACCTCACAGCAAAGTGTAACTAACTTAGTTTAGGGATAATATATATACAGTATGTATTACCGTCACCTCTACATACAGCTGAGCGCTCATCTCCAATAGTTCTGATGTCAAGAAAGTGTGGGTCTATGTCTGTGCCTTCATGGCGTAGTGCTTAATTAGTTAAGCACAAAGACAACTTTACCTTTATATGTTCATTAATATGTGTGTTGCTGTTAGTAGAAAATTTTGTGAATGACAAGCAGAGGGTTGAAATGGCTTTTTAGAACTAGATAGATATTCCTGATGCCTGAATAAAACCCAAGGGAGTGTCAGACACTTATTAAAAGGAAATTATTACAGTGTGGGCTTGAGATATTGATAATTATGACACCTCAAGACACTGGAAATATTTTCCTAAAAATGAAGTGCCCTGGAACAAAGTAAATGGCGTTTACCCCCACCCCCAACCCCCTCTTTTCCATCCTTGCTTGTAAAAGGAATTTAGGATAGAACTAATATATTTTGTGTTACAGAGTTTAGTTACACAAATCATATTAGTATCATGCAAATTTATAATCACACAATACCTAGTGTTATACCAAAGAGGTTATCATGTTGCACTCATGCTTACACAGATGTTCCTGTGGAGTCTGATTTTATTTTTTTGCTTGCGATTGTAAATATGTCCGCTTTGAATCTGCTTGATATAAACTCAGAATTCTGCACCATAACCATATTTGTAATGGTTGACTCACAAATTATAATTTGTACAGAATTTTAAGGTATGTTTATGATCATACCAATTTCATATATTGGGTGCTAATGGTTCAAACAAAGCACAAAATGTGGATTTCACTGAGGAGTTGTGTTCTCTTACACTGCCCCCCCCCCTCAAAGTTTGGTTAACCTTTTAGGGCTTGACATTCATGTAAATTTTCGTGGAAATCGGTCATTTGGTTCCAAAGTTCAAGGATACATGGCACACACATCCAAAGACATTGTGATGATGCCATAAGCCTACATTTTCGTGAGGAAGAAGAGTGGAGTGAATTGTAAATACTCCTGTTTACATCAGCCATCAGGCTGTGGATTTATGTTTGTCATTTTAGGAAATCAGAAGAACTTGTTTTCTTTTCTGTTATTTGAGACCATACCCACTTCATTCCTCCATTCAAGTTCCTGGATAGGACCTATAAATTGGCCACTGACATCTTTTCCAATTTATTCTGCGTACTTATCTTCGCATCTCATCGATGCTGCAGAATGTCTGGAAGTGAAATAGCATCATTGAATAACCTGCGTTCGTACCACTATTAGAACATTTTTTGCGGTTGAGGATATGGGTAAATAAAATTCCATTGGGGTAACTACCAGTAGTACACGATCTTATTGAGTTCTGCAAAGAACAAATGAATTCATACGTTTAGTCTCGCAATAAAATCGTTGACTGTAAAAGTGCATAGATCAGTCAGTTCGATAGCGGGCACCAGGAACCGGTTCGCTATTGAGACAAATACGGAGCAGAAGTTGACAGCCAGTAGTCGCTACAGCGAAACCCCGTCAGCGTCTTTGTTTTGTTTCTCGCCTCCTTCGCCGCAATGTCACGTTTTCAAGGCGCCCCATAAAAGGAGCCGTCTTGGAACCGTAGCTTACCCACGCAATAATGCCTCGTTCCTCGAGTCTGCTGATCCCAACCCGACTGCTTCAGTATCGCCGTAAGAAAAGACAACGGACTCTGTGGGCAGTTATGCTGGCGACAAGCACATTAACCTTCGTCTGGGTTCAGCCATGTTAACGTAATGCGTTTTGAAAATTCTATAGAAAATCTCTTCATTTATTTTAAAAAACTACGAGTATGTTGTTATCCTATACAGGTCAGAGTTATAACCGTGAACTTCGAATTACACCGCAATGCGAAATCGCAGTAACGCATGTTTCCTTAAAGAGTTAGATGGTCTAGCTCTTGCCCAGATGATCCTCCCACGTAGTGACTTGTAAATGTGGAATTCCTGCGCAGCTATGAATGTAATTTAGTGTCGAATGGCAAAGCGTATTGCTATTATGGTGGTTTTGGATGGATGTGAAATGAAGTGGACGTGACGTATTTTTATGTTACTATCTTAAGCATATTTCGGGTTGGACTTCGAAAACCACGAAATAATCTCAGGATACCCCATCGTCTGGCCGTAACGTTTCAATACATCCCAGGTTTTGACTTTCAAGAAAAGAAGTTTCTTTCGTGTATTCATCCCCCCCCCTTTTATCTTTTATCATTTCACATTTTTCTGTCGTATATCTTTCACATTTCTTATATTTGTTCTTCCTGTCATAATTTTCTCGCCCAACCTTCCCTCCCTCTCTTCTGCGTTAATACAGTTTATGCAAGTATTGCCCAAAACACGCCACTGCGACAGAACTGTGGAAAATATTAGATGTGCTAGTGGTACGTTACTAAAATATTTTCCCCGTACACTGCGTACGTTATGAGCGTGAACGTACATGTGTCAAATTGGCTGTTGTATACCCGCGTTTGCTTGGAGGGACTGAGGAAGAGCCTCAGCCAGTATAGTAGATAGTCCGACTGAGATTCGAACCTATCGCTTCAAAATACAAGTTAGGAGCGTTACCGCTTGAGCTGGCATGGCCAGTGCCACCAGTATGAACACCCTCACGCAATAGCCGGATTCAGTAGCGGTTCTTTGTTGCGTGGTAACTATATCTGAAGTCAAAATGTCGGACCGTTTAAGAGCCACTCCACATGTGATGACGTGCGGAAGTAGCATCAAGTTTTTCAGTCCCTGTCAGGTCAGTAACGGCTCACACGCCTAAACCCTCCCGTGGTCGATGACTTCCATCTGCCCACAGTCTGACCCAGCTGAAGTCTCCACCATGTTCAGCCCTATCCAGGGAGCTTACACTGTACTTAACGTCCCACACAAGATGGCCGAAGCGACTTTAAACTCGCCTCAGTCTCTTTCTCCCGTAACTGAGTAGACAAGAGGTCTTCGTGATGAGTAAATAACCGCGCAGCTAGTCAAATTTTCGTCAAATTGATTTTACCGAACTTTTATAAAGGAAGAAAGATAGGCCAGCATGTCGCAGTAGGTGCATGTTGAAAGGCATCGCTTCACTGTCACAATGGGCTTTCCATGAGGGCGTAGAATAGACTAATAATGTACATCTTTAACTACTTCCATACAAGAGGCGCTGCCGTATGTATTTCTGGTAATGACATTAAATTACAATTTCTGTTCATTTGCGTCCATCAGTAAAAAAGGTGAAGATGTCCCTGTAGCAGGCCATGGGGGCCCATAGGGTTGTGAGACGTCGATGCTCCCACATTTTCTAGGCAATCGGCTCAGATGGCGTCGAGGTTATCAGCCTTACTCGCCGGCCGCCCTTTATCCCCCAGGAATATTCCTGGCGCTCATTTATGTAAGAGCATGAGTCGACCCCAGGGCCATAGTGCGGCTGGAAGGATTAATCAGTTGGAAAATCCAGCGGCCTCATCGGGAATCGAACCTGCTACCTTCCGTCTTGTAGCATAGTACCCCAACCAACTACGCTGTCGCGTGCCCCAGCGTCGATCAGTGATCCTCAATTTTTTTTTTCGAGTTCGAGGATACTTTTTTTTTCGCTTAGTTGGGGCGGGGGGGGGGTGGAATCCAACTGGGTCCACTCGGCACGGCGGCCACTGATTGGCTTAT